AGAGGAAACTTTTTAATAGGAAATAAAAGCAACTTTATATTAAATTTTCTACTTTATATGGGATATTGGTCAGTTAATTGGTATATCGACAGGGCCATATTATGGAGTTAGTGAACCTAGCTCTTCTCAATACGTTAGAGTTCAAGGTTGTTTTTTAAACAGGTACTAAATTTCTTTAACTCAATACTATGTAATATACTACTTAATGCATTTGGTAAAATACACCTTTTCTATAGAGTTCATGGAATTTGTTTCTTTGTATTCTTTTAATTGTATTAAAAGGGCTTGGACACAGATTTTCAAAGTATTATCATGATGTCATATACATTTGGAAATCGTATGTTTGCTTTAAAAAAAACCTATGAAACTGACTGTAAAATGCACTAAACAAATTTCGTTTGTTATGCAATTCCCCACCCACCCTTCAAATTACATGAACATTCTTAAAAGTATTTGCTTTTGTAGATATTGCAATTTTAGGATCTTCAATATATTTGCACAAATGTCGTACCCGAGAAAATTTTCTCACAAGAGTCTTTATATTTGTTTTTTACTCATCCCGTCTTTTTGAATCTTATCTGAACCGGGTATTGTATACAATTAGATTATCCTGCCAATATTCATATTTAGCGCATTCATTGCATAGTTACCACAAAACTTGTATTGGTTAATATATACATGCTAGCAAGTATTTTCAGACACTTTTTTTAGTAATACATGAGATTGACCTCCCTGTGAAGGTTTCTTATATTACACACTATACAGTGATACCTCTTTTTTCAGAATGTCTTTTCGACCCTTGTCATCATGGTAGCTGCCACAACACTCCAGGGTCATATTACTGTACATGCTTTAGCGGCTGGACTGCCAAAGACTGTGATATAGGTTTACGCAAATTTTTGAAACTGTTTTCTTTTCGAGGGACGAATTTTTTCTATTTAGATTAATAAGGAAATACAAAACCCATTAAAAGAACATGTGTATATATATTCTCGGCTCAGTCTAAATAAATGCGATGATACTTTCAATGATATTATCTCTAAATACTAGATGTTAACGAATGTCAAAGTACCCCATGCAAAAGTGGTGCGTGTGTGAACACTCCCGGCTCTTATTACTGTAACTGCATTGCTGGTTGGACATCTACACATTGTGACATGGGTGAGTAGCTTTCTGCTACAATTACGTGTAAGTGCTCTCACTTTTCGATATTTTTAGATGAAAAGAAAATGAAGTGTATATCCTGAATTTCTTTTTTCTTGTAGATATCAATGAATGCTCTATCAGTCATCGCTGTATTCATGGAGTCTGTATTAATACCCCAGGAAGCTTCTATTGCACTTGTAACACTGGATATAAAGGCCGTGACTGTGGCACTGGTGATTAGATATTTCAATAAAATAAAAATGAAATGTCAATATGCTACTCACATCATAGTCATATAGCTCTCATTGACACAGTAAGTCTAAAACAGAATTTTTAGTTATGTAAAAAAAAATATGAGAGAAGAAAATGTTTCAAAATTAACCTACGACATTTGACAGATGCTTGAACAAAGGGGAGTTAAGAGTTGAAGTATAAATTATCCTTGTCCTATATGTTATTTCTTTCTTTATTTAGCTGCAATAATGTAGCCCACTCCCAATATTTTATTTCTTTTTTTTTGGGGGGGGGGGGAGGAGGGCTACAACTCCTTAGGATCTCCGTAACTGTGCAAGTGCGGGAGTGATTCACTCCCGCACAGATTTCGGCTCAAATTATCAGTAAATGTCTATTTTACTAACATTTTTTACCTGAACTCCAAAAATGTAGTTAGGCAAGACATAAATCGATCCAAAAATATACAGAACAAGTCATATATAGGTAATTTTTCGTGTATGTCAACATCACAACTTGAATTTATCCGCCATTTACTGACCTTGATCGATCTTATTTTAGGACAGCCAATCAGAATATTCGGATTCTAGGGAGCGGATCTTTAGGAATTCACTTATTTTAAGCAAAGATATCGTTGTTTACGAAAAAAAAAATTCACAAGGAATGGTTTTATTTATCGATGTTTAGTGATACCTTATAACGCAATCATTTATAAACACCGACATTTGCTTTATCAAGTTATTCTAAATTTCAAGCGCAAGTCTCAGCTACATCACGCGAGAACTGTCATGGCTGCTAAGAACGACTGGTAAACACGCAGATTTATTTTAACTGGTTTTCTCGTTTAAGGGGCTTATTTGTTGACAGTCAATAAAAATGTTGTCTTATTAATAAGAAGTAAGTTAAATGTATAAAAAAAAAAAAAAAAAAAAAAAAAAAAAACCCAATTTATTTTGCCTGCAGTCGTCCGTATTTAACAAATATATTTGCACCATTACGGAGATACGGTGGAATTGTAGCCCTCTCCAGAAAATATCAGATTAAAAAAATCGGAGAGGGCTACATTATTGCAGCTATAATTTATTGTATGCTGAATCTTTACATGTAATAAAAGATATAAACGAGTGTCTCTCCGGAATATGTCAACATGGATCATGCCATAATGCTCCAGGCTCATACAGCTGTACATGCAATGTTGGATGGACTGGCAAAAACTGCGATGCAGGTACTATACAATATTGTTAAAATTCATCGTAAAATATACTGTTTTATGAAATGAACACAAATGTATGATTCTCGGTCCAGTAGAATAGATATTTTATGAGAAGCAATCATCAACTAATTTTAATCCACCCCCTTTCCAAAATTCATATTTTTGCATCGTTGGGTTGCTCTGCCTTTATTTCACACTGGTAAATTTGTCGGCCCTCTGTTACCCTTATCGATATAAAACCTGCATATTTTCATATTCCTACAACAGTAAATATATTCTTATTTTAAATAAATAATTTTATAGATGTCAATGAATGTACCACTAGTCTTACCTGCATCAATGGAGTCTGCTCTAATACCCCTGGGAGCTACACCTGTACATGTGATCCGGGATTTATTGGTCATGACTGTGGTACAGGTAAAACTACCAAATATTACATGTATTTAACATTCGTATTTCATTTAACTTAATTTTACTGGTAGTTTTAACCTACATCCCTTTATTATGATCCAGATGTAAACGAGTGCCTCTCCAGACCATGCCAGCATGGAACGTGCCACAACACCAACGGGTCATACTATTGCACATGTGACATCGGATGGACAGCATTAAACTGTGATACAGGTAATTCAAGATCACATTTTCTTTTACAAAAAAGCGACAGTTGTGTATTCTTTTTTTTAATTTCTTATTAGGCAGTAATTTTGATTATTTTTTCGACCAAATGATCCTCGAAAATTTTGTCCAAATATAGCAGATCCACCGCTGTTTTTTCGTGAAACTAAGTCACGCGAAATATAACTGATATACAGTAAATCGCCTGTGCAAAAGTTGTTTTAAACGCCACCGCTTTTTGTTGCACAATTACAGCATAATATCAAATGTCCTTGTTTCTGCTCATAAATGCAGTTTAAGTGAATTGTTGATATATCACTGTAAACACTATTTGTCCATAAATTATCCGATAATTTTTAATAATAATATTCACCCCATACTTATTCCTTGTTAAAGATATAGACGAGTGTCCCTCCGGTCCATGTCAGCATGGAGCCTGTCATAACACCCCGGGGTCATACCATTGTACTTGCCTTAGTGGTTGGACAGCGAAAAACTGTGGTACAGGTATCCTATAGCAACCAAACTTTTATCAATTGATAAATATCAACAATATATTTTGAAGTGTAAAATTAAGACTCATTACACTGATTAACCAGAAAAAAAATTGCGTATTCATTGCCTGATCTATTTCTTTTTTAATTATGCAATGCTGATAAATCATGTTTTTTCGGGTTTTCTTCAGACATTGATGAATGTCTAACTTACTATGTATATATGGTTTTACGGAAGAAAGCTTTCAGGTCTTAGAAATTAAAACTTTAAACATGTGTTTTAACAAGATTGGAGAAACTTTGGCAGTTTTAGTCAGTGTTGGGAGGGTTTTATTCCCTCGCGCTTTCTTATGGGAGTAATTGTCTTCAACAATCTTTGTGAATGGAGGGAGAATTTTCCCGTGAATTTGTTATTTTTACCGTGAACATAAACGACTGTGAAAATAATAATTTTGTTCAAATGATAAATTACAGTATATCACTGTTGAAATTGAATTAGCTGTAATTGTACGTTTTAGATATCGATGAATGTTCCACAAATCCCCCATGTCACCATGGAGCTTGTACTAATACTCAAGGGAGCTATTACTGTACATGCAACACAGGATTTGATGGTCTTGACTGCAGCACAGGTGAATGGTTACACACATTTTTTTTGTTTCAAATGATAGTTTTGCATTGATGTTTATTAATTAATACAATGTCCATTCCTTTTTCAGATATAAACGAGTGTCTTTCAAACCCTTGTCAGAATGGCACATGTCATAACATTCCAGGATCATACTATTGTACATGCTTCAGTGGTTGGACAGGAAAAAATTGTGAAACAGGTACACTTAAATTTCAGTTCTCGATTTGATACAACACTGATGTTTTTGTCAAGCGCATGAAAATGACTATTCACCTTTTAGAAATGAAATGAATAAGCAGTTAATACTAGTACTATGAATGTTTTGATTTTGCAGTCGGATTGCAAAACAAGCATCTTGAACGATAAAGGGGGGGGGGGGGGGGTGGCTAGATTCAATTCGTATGCTTATGATTGAAACTCATTCTGTTCTTTCGTGAAGAAAATGTCTTTGTTATTAATATGAAATAAAGTTATAGACTGATATCACTTGTCATTAATGTTAGTAATATCTGTTTAATTCTTATTATCAAAAAAAAATATTTTTGAATGTACCAAAATCTCCTCCATGTCTTTTTAATTTGAATTAACGTTTGGTGTCAGATTTGAGCATAGAAGATATTGAAACAGTAACTTGTCTTTTCTTTTCAATTGAAAAGTTGTTTCTTTGCAGATATAAATGAATGTGTTGAGAATCCGGGAATTTGTCTAAACGGGGGAACATGTGAAAATCTTTTAGGCAGTTTCACATGTCACTGCACAAAGGGCTACAAGGGTACACATTGTGACGAAGGTAATACGATTCCCTTTCTTTGCAAATTTACTGTACTTGATTTTTCATTACTTTTTGTTTCATGAGCAGATTTGATGAAGGAAGATATGTTTTAATTGCCGTTTCAGACCTCACAGGAGAAAATAATGCTTTTTTGACATATATCTTTTCTAAAATATAAAAGCAAGTTTTTAATTTGAATAATGAGATTTTATGAATGTATATCAGATATCAAGGCACGCAAAATATAACTGATTTACATTAAATTATCTCTGCAAAAGTTGTTTGAAACATCACTGCTCTTTGGTGCATAATTACAGCATACCGTGGAATCATTTAAATTCGTGGAGGTCAATGTTCGTGGGCAAGCAAAATTTTATTGGTTCGTGGGGATGTAATTTCATGGGCAGCTCGTTTATTGGGTAGATTTAATTAATCAGTACGTTCACAAAATAATTGTTCGTGGGGATGTAAATTCGTGGGTAAGGGTTACCCACGAAATCCACGAACATTGATCCACCACGAACAATGATGATTCCACAGTAATATAAAATCTCCTCGATTATTCCAATAATTGTAGTTTAAGTGAATGGTTGATATATCACTCTAAACAATATTTGTCCATTAATTATCTCATTATCCATACTTATGTCCTTGTTAAAGATATAGACGAGTGTCCCTCCGGTCCATGTCAGCATGGACAGTGTCATAACACACCGGGATCATACGTTTGTGCTTGCTTTAGTGGTTGGACAGCGAAAAACTGTGATACAGGTATCCTATAACAAAACTTCTATCATTTAATAAATATCAACAAAATACTTTAAAGTGTAAAATTAAGGTTCACTACACTGATTAACTAGAAAATTTTGCATATTCATTGTTTGATCTATTTTATTTACACAATGCGGATGAATTGTGTTTTTCGGAGTTTTTCGGACATTGATGAATGTCTAACTTACCATGTATATATAGTTTTATGGAAGAATACCTTTGGGTTTTAGAACATTTAAAACATGGATTTCAACATGTTTGGAGAATTTTTGGCAGTTTTAGTCAGTGTCGGGAGGGTTTTATTCCCTCTCGCTTTCTAAAGGGAGTAGTGTCTTCAACACTCTTTGTGTATGGAGGGAGAGTTTTCCCTTGAATTTGTAGTATTCACCGTGAACATAAAACGACTGTGAAAATAATATTTTTTATTTGATAAATTGAATTATTATATCATTGAATAATTCCTAGCTCTTTGATTAGCTGAGATCCAACATTCTAGAAAAAATACTACGTTATGTTCACCTGAATGTAACCTGCCAGGTGAACATAAGATTTATTTTTTCCTACGTTGGACTAAAAATAAATTGGGAAATTCCATGTTGATACAATTAGTTCTGGAAAGTTATTTTCATTGCTCCCCACTTCCACTACTTAAATATAATATTCAAGAACATAGAACCGCGGGTAGGAGTGAGGGATGGGGGTACATTGGTACTTCCCCTCCCCACATTTTTTTCTGAACATAACTCTTTACTTTTAATTAAATATGAAAAAGTTCATTGAGAGGCTAGGTGTGAACCTCCACTAATGGACCTTAATACACCCTCCGTCACCCCCATCCCCGAAATAAAATTTGATGTAGTTTGGAGCATTCTCCTCTTTTGGGGGGAGGGGGTATTGTCAACATTTTTTTAAAAAGAAAGTTGTCGATTTTTTTTTCTTATAATGCCCCCCCCCCTTTTTTTTTCAAAATCCACCCTTGGTGTTTGACATTAAATTATTTTTCTACATCGCACCATGACTAGATTTTTTTTTTTAAATCAAAATTAGTACAACTGGTTATGGTTAGTTTAACCCAATGTCTCTCATTGCGTTTAGCTAAGACTTCAGTAAATATAAATAAGAATGATAGCATAGATTGCTTAACGAGTTTGTATCATTTAATCATTGAATCATATAATAAAACAAATATTTTTTTTCAGTCAATATGATGTCTTGGCCACCTTGGAAGTACAATATATTCGCCTCACATTTCGGGCTCAGTAAATAATGCACTCCTTAGGTGGCTAAACCATCTTATTAACTGAAATAAAAACAGCAATAATTGTATAATATATCATTGTTGAAATTAAATAAGCTGTAATTGTATGTGTTTAGATATCGATGAATGTTCCACAAATAGCCCGTGTCTCCATGGAGCTTGTAACAATACTTTAGGGAGCTATTACTGCACATGCAACACAGGATTTGATGGTCCTGACTGCAGCACAGGTGAATTGTTACACACAAAATGTTGACTCTCAAATGCTAGCTTTGCATTGATTTTTAATGTGTTATAAATGCAATGTCCATTCCCTTTTTAGATATAAACGAGTGTGTTTCAAACCCTTGTAAGAATGGCACATGTCATAACATTCACGGATCATACCATTGTACATGCATGAATGGTTGGACAGGCAACAACTGTGAAACAGGTATACTAAAATTTCAATACTGGTGATTTTTACAAGTGGAATATGACTACTCACCTTTTAGAAATGAAATGATCAAGCAGGTAATACGACTACTAAGGATGTGTTTATTTCGCAAACGGATTGCAAAACAAGCATCTTGATCAGGAGTTTAGGTTTGATTCATATGCATGTCACTGAAACTCATTCTATTGTTATTTCGTAGAGAAAGATGTGGGGTTTTTTTCATCAAAATGAAAAAGTTATAGATATCATTTGTCGCTAATTTTAGTTATATCTGTTTTATTCTTATTATTAAAAATTTTATTTTTGAATATAGAAAAATCTTCTACATGTCTTCTTATTTAAATTCACATTTTATGTAAGATTTGGGCCTTGAAGTTAGTATTGAAACAGTAGCTTGTCTTTTCGTTACACTGGAAACGTTGCTCCCTTGCAGATATATATGAATGTATTGAAAATGCGGAACTTTGTCTAAACGGGGGAACATGTGAAAATCTTTTAGGCAGTTACATGTGCCACTGCACAAAGGGCAACAATGGAACACATTGTGATAAAGGTAATATGATTTCCTTTTTTCCCCAAAATTTACTGTTCTGGATTTTTCATATCTTTTGTTTCATGAGCATATTTGATGAAGAAAGAAATCTTTTAATTGCCATTTGAGATCTCAAATGAGAAAATACTGAGGAGGGGGTGTTTTTTTTACATATCTTTTTTTCAATGTACAAGCAAGTCGTCTTTAATTTAAAATATAAAACCTCATTAATGTATTTCAGATGTTAATGAATGCACGGAATACCAGCCTTGTCAGAATGAAGGGAACTGTACAAACACAAATGGGTCATTCTTGTGTACCTGTACGTCTTACTGGACAGGAGTCGTCTGTAGTGAAGGTTTGTCTCTCTATATCACATTGATGATTTCACTTGAAAATATATTAACAACTGTAAACGGAAAATCCGTTTGGTAGCATTTATACTTTTCATAATGTAATGAATCATATTCATATACTAGAACTAGTATGTCTTTAAAAAGTGTAATTAATTATTATTCAGATATAGATGAGTGTCTTCAAAATCCAAGAATATGTAACCATGGTGATTGCAACAACTTAATCGGAGGGTTCAGCTGCGTATGTCTTTCAGGATATACTGGAGCAGTTTGTGATACAGGTTTGGAAAACGCAAGCTCTCTACGTATTAGTTGTCGAGTAAATTATCGAAATGTTAATGCCTGAGGAAACGTATGGAGCCCAAGTCATGTCTTAAATATATCATTGTTTTAAACTTGATATTTGAAATGTGAAAAGTGAAAAACGAAACATGATAATTCTATGATTCGATCTCTGTCAAGTCACGACTGTTTTTGCTGTTAAATGTTAAAATATCACAGCCGTGTACTATAGTAGTTAACTCCACAGGGTACAAACTTGGACGAGTCAAGATTGACAATCTATTTGGGCTTATCGCAATCGTTGAAAGTATATTCGATGTTTTCTTTTCTGAGATTCTGAAAAGACCCTTAGATTCCCATTATATGTTGGAAAATAATAATATAATATGATCAGGAGTTGTAAACTTCTGTATCCTGCGATGAAATCGTGTTGATCGAATGATTGATTATATAATGATTAACATCCCATTCTTAAATTATCCCTCATCTAGAGACATCGCCGTACTCCGGGACGGGCTTCAAACTAGGTCCAATGCTCGGCACTCAAGAAAATTCAGCTGTGAGCGTTCTTTATCGTGCCAACGCCTTTCGCGACAAGGTCTCATCGGAAAGACCCGTGACTTTCACTTTTTATGCTTGGCACATGGCGAAAGAACAGTCAACTTTTTGTTTGCGTCCTAGGTTTGACGCAGCGCTGCAAACGAGAATCGAACCCATGCCTCCCAATCACGAGGCGAACACCCTACCACTAGGCTACCGTGGCCGGTGAAATGGAGAAAAATACAATACAAAATAAAGTTATGCAAAATTGCTTCTGTAACGTGCTTTTATTTTCTTTTAAAGTCTACAAAAAAGAAAGAGAAACATTAGATTTGATATTTATTCAAAGCCATATCTGCGAAAAAATATATTCTATTTTAGAACATACTGTTTACAACTAAATATCATATTGCCAAAGAGTTTTAATTAAATCCAACTGAATCTTCCTTAACTCTCCTTATAATATGATTTTAATAATATTAGATATAAACGAATGTAAAGAAAATCAGCCATGTCAGAATGGAGGAAACTGTACCAACACTGAGGGATCGTTCTTTTGTAATTGTACCCCTAACTGGACCGGAGCTGTCTGTAGTGAAGGTATAATACTCTCTCTCTCTCTCTCTCTCTCTCTCTCTCTCTCTCTCTCTCTCTCATATTGTGTTTGCAATATTATATTATATAATGAGTGTAATGTCATTTAAGATGTAAATGAGTGTCTTCAAACCCCTGGGATATGTAACAATGGTGACTGCTACAATTTTTATGGTGGTTTTCGTTGTTCTTGCCACGATGGCTACACTGGACCACTCTGTGATATGGGTATGTTTTATATTATTGTATATGGAAAGTACCTATCCATATTGTCATATTTTGGCTATTAACATTCTATTGTCTACATTCAACGACTGAAAAAAGAAAACGGCTACTGTATACAATATATTAGAATAATTTTTTCTGTCAAAAAGTGAAAATAGCTCCTCAGTGAAAGAAAGAAACATAGATGCATTTTAGGGTGTTCAAAACGTATTGTTCAGAAAAAGTGAAAATTGCAATGAGCGAAATTAAAACTAAGTATACAGTAATTTAAATGTTTTAGATCTGTGCATGTTTTAAAATAATAATAGTCTGAAATAGATATCGACGAATGTAAAGTATACCATCCATGTCAAAACGAGGGAAACTGTACCAACACTGAGGGATCTTTCTTCTGCAATTGTACATCTAACTGGACCGGAGCTGTCTGTAGTGAAGGTATGATCCTCTCTCTCTCTCTCTCTCTCTCTCTCTCTCTCTCTCTCTCTCTAACACATCTATAGTTGGTGGAAAGAAATGTCACAAACGCATATGAAGATACGATATTTATATCATTGAAATATACATGTATTCTGTTTAGATGTAAATGAGTGCCTTAAAAGTCCAGGAATTTGTACTCATGGTGTTTGTTACAACTTTGATGGTGGGTTCAGTTGCTCCTGTCAAACCGGATACACAGGGCCTCTTTGTGATGCAGGTACGATATGACTCTGAATTACTTTGTGACCATTTCTAAACTTGTTTATTTGTGTGATACACTGATCAAACCACTTTGTAATACTAAAAAGGGTAAAATGTACGTGTTACTAGTGATTTTATTCCAATCATCAGTTAATATTTTGAAAAGCTTATTAAGATTTTCATGTCCTTCACTAGTGAATTTATAATCTGTCCCACTTATCTCTTATTTTTGACGATAGTAAAATAAATTTTGACTCCAGTTTTGTCTTGAAAAAAATCATTTAACATGAAATGTTTATCAACTTATTCTTAACGGTTTTTAGTCGGATTATTTGTATAAATCTTGAAACAAAACAGTGTGAAATGTGTTTCAATGTTAATTTGGGTCATGGCTGTCAAAATAACAGGGGAATAGTCGTTATTTCCAGAGATCTTTATCCAAACCTTTGCTACGTCATTTAATACATAGCCTTTAGCAAGTGACGGGAATAAGATCCCATCCGAAACTTTTCATAAATGTTAAATCCTCTTATGGACTTTGAATTTGCCACTATTGCCACAGGTTGAACCCGAAAGATCAAAAGGAGGAAGGGATACTTTATTGATCGAACTTATTTTGAAAACCAGGGTATTTTGAGATTTTAGGCAAAAACTGGTGACATTGGTACCGTGGGAAAGATTTTAATATTCTTTGTGTTTTTCCTTTATTTTGCATTTTTTCCAACTTATTATTCTATCGCCAAAAATGTTTTCCTCAAAGCAAACCTTCATTACTTTTCTTTTTAATGTCATTCAAATAACAATAGATATTAACGAATGTAAAGAAAATCAGCCATGTCAGAATGGAGGAAACTGTATCAACACTGAGGGATCGTTCTTCTGTAATTGTACATCTAATTGGACGGGAGCTGTCTGTAGTGAAGGTATGACTCTCTCTCTCTCCCACACACACACACACACCCTGAACTCCACTGGCAGTGCACGTATTCTTAAGATATCGTAAAAGGTAGTTTGAATTTTATAGAAATCTCTTGGTGAAAATATGCATGTACTCTCTCTTTGTTAAAATATGAAATAAAATCGATCATTTAACGCAGATATTTTGACAGAATTAAAATTTTATTCTTTTCATCAAGGTCAGATAACTCTTCAAAAATGTTTATGGTGCACTTATAAGTTATCAGTTATGTGAATTTGGTTAATTTCACTTTCATCGTTATCTAGCAATACATATTTAACTAGTTTAAAATGATTCAAAATTTTTCAATATCCCTTCATGAGTGTAATGTCATTTTAGATGTAAATGAGTGTCTTCAAACCCCTGGGATATGTAACAAAGGTGACTGCTACAATTTTTATGGGGGTTTTCGTTGTTCTTGCCACAATGGCTACACTGGACCACTCTGTGATATGGGTATGTATACGATATATTAAAATAATGTTTCTCTGTCAGAGTGAAAATAGCACTCCGTGAAAGAAAGAAACACAGAATAATCGTGCATTTTCAGGGTTTGCAAAACGTATTCAGAAAAAGTGAAAAATAACAATGAGCGAAATTAAAGCTAGTATTCAGTATTCGAAATTTTCCAGATCTGTTCATGTTTTAAAATAATAATAGTCTGAAATAGATATCGACGAATGTAAAGAATACCATCCATGTCAAAACGAGGGAAACTGTACCAACACTGAGGGATCTTTCTTCTGTAATTGTACATCTAATTGGGGCTGTCTGTAGTGAAGGTATGATGCTCTCTCTCACATCCATAGATGCTCTCTCTCACATCCATAGTTAGTGGAAAGAAATGTCGTGAAAACAAATGAAGACACGATATTTATATCATTGAAATATACATGTATTCTATGTTTAGATATAAATGAGTGCCTTAAAAGTCCAGGAATTTGTACTCATGGTGTTTGTTACAACTTTGATGGTGGGTTCAGTTGCTCCTGTCAAACCGGATACACAGGGCCTCTTTGTGATACAGGTACGATATGAATCACTCTGTGACTTTACCAAATTTGTATGATGCAATGGACCACTTTATGATTTATGTATCTGTAACTATATTGCGTTTATTACAACCATCAGTTAATATTTTGATATGCTCATTTAGTTTTTTCATGTTCCTCACTTGTGAGTTTATAATCATTACGCATATTCTCTCCCATTTGAGAGCTTATACCTCATTTTTGACGAAAGTAAAATAAAATTTAACTTCATTACTGTTTCAAAAATTAAATTATCATTAAGCATGAAACTTTATCAACATATTCCAAACAGTTTTAGTCGGATAAATTACATAGATCCTAAATCAAAACAATATGAGATGTTTATTCAATCTTAATTTGGGTCATAGCTATAAAGATAACAGGGGAATAGTCGTTATTTCTAGAGATCTTTATCCGAACCTTGCTAAGTCATTTAATACGTCACCTTTGACAAGTTACGGAAAATAGATCCCTTCCTGATATTGCAGACATTTTTCTAAATGTTAAATTCCCGTATAGACTTCGAATGTGCTACTTTTGTCACTAGTTGAACCTGAAGGATCAAACAGAGGCAGGGATACTTTGTTGAACGAAGTTATTTTAAAAGCCAGGATATTTTGAGATTTTATGCAAAAAGTGATGATATTGGTACCATGGGACGGATTTGATATTCTTTTTGTTCTTTCCTTTAATATGCATTCTTCCAACTTATTACTCTGTTGCTTAACAATGTTTACTCAAATAAAATCTTCATTAACTTTCTTTCTTAATACTATTCAAATAAATATCAGATATAAACGAATGTAAAGAAAATCAGCCATGTCAGAATGGAGGAAACTGTACCAACACTGAGGGATCTTTCTTCTGTAATTGTACATCTAATTGGACAGGAGTTGTCTGTAGTGAAGGTATCTCTATCCTTTCATCTTTCATATGGTGTTTGCAATGCGTAATGTAAATTATTCTGAGAAATACTAATCCGAAGTATAAATATTTAAATGCAATCTACCTTTATGCATATTTTAAACGATCATTTAGATATCGATGAGTGTCGACAAAATTCTAGTATCTGTAACCATGGTGTTTGTTACAACTTTAACGGTGGATTTAATTGTGTCTGTCACATCGGGTACACCGGATTCCTTTGTAATGAAGGTTTGTGAATCACTTTTAGATAATTTACATACATACGTCAGATGTCTAACAAATAGCATTACAAAAGTTTTAGGACAATAGTCCATGGTCAATGACAAAAAAAGCTAAATATACAATGTATTTTCGAACAATATTCTTAAAGTATTTATACATGTATTATTGAACAGATATTGATGAGTGTCTGTTGAAGCCATGCAAAAATAACGGATCTTGTGTTAGTACACCAGGGTCATTCTACTGTAATTGTGTGAACGACTGGGATGGACCACTCTGTGAAAAGGGTAAGATTTTAAAAAAGAATTGCAAGCTGGATACAGGGGAGGTATTTAATTTACTAAGTGAACATCCTTTGAAACATAAACGCGTATCTGGAAAAATGTCAAAGTATTGATAACTAGAGGTACTGTGAGCACTGAGCTCACTAAATGATACCCCCGACTCCCATATGATTATAATGGCAAAGTCCATGTTTTGCTCTCGGAAACCCGAAAGAAGAGTGAGATCAAAAGTAAAATAGGAAGTGCATAATGGCATTATGTAATAAAGAATCTGTGAAAGTATCATTAAATTTTATTCAGTGGTATAGGAGGAGTTGCGGATAAGAGATGGGTACCCTTCAATATTATAGAAAGAATGGCAGTGTCCATCTTTTGCTATGGGAAACCCGAAATATGTGTCCGATCAAAAAGTAAAATAGGAGGTGCACAATGGCACTATGTAACAAGGATTCTGTGAAAGGTTCATAAAATTTCATTCAGTGGTATAAGAGGAGTTGCGGATAAGAGATGGGTACCCCAAAGCGTAACAGACGGACGGACGGAGGGACGGATGGACGTACAGACGGACGGACGGACATCCCGATCACTATATACCCTCCCACTTTTCAAGCGGGGGGGGGGGTATAATAATAATATCTAACTCCTGTTATTCGTATATATTTTAGATCTTTGTAAAACAGAAGCAACGAAACTAATCTTCGTGGTGGATACTTCCTACAGCTCTCAAGGTGTAACATTCAAAAAACAGCTTCAATACATTACAGACGTTGTTTCACAAATCACCATCTCAGAAAAGAAATATGAAATTGCAGTCATTTCTTACGGTTCAACGGCCACAGTAGCCATAAATTTGGACTCGTACGAAAACAAAACGGACCTTTTAAATCAAATCAACAACCTCACTTTCGTCAACGGCCCAACAAATATTGAACCTGCATGTGTCAAAATCAAAAGTGTTATGTCTTTAACTCCCGGGGACTTCCAGTTTGTATTTTTCTTCACCGATGGAATGCCTACGAATTTGGGTTCTGCTAGACGTTCTATTCAAGACTTGAGGGTTTATCTTAAATTAGCTCACTCTTCAAATGAAATATTTCTTGTGGCGTTTGGGGATGATGTCCGACATGCTGGATTTAAAGAACTGTCTGGAGATCACAGAAGTCATGATGTTTATTCCAGCATTAATTTTGAACCATTGTATCGTGTTTTCCATAAAACTGTCAACTTCAAGTGTTCCGGTAAGACTTCAATCCTATTGATTTTGTTTATTGTATTTTAAGTACATGAACTGCATCTTCGATTACGTCCTCTTAATCAAATTTGCTTCGTTTTGACACCACTCATCTTTTTATCTTTTTAAAAGATGGTTTTCACAAAAAAATATATATTACATTATTTTTCAGCTTGTGAAGTAAGAGAAGATATAGATTTAATTTTTGCATTGGATACATCGACAGTTCAATCACCGACTATTTACGCAGCCAGCCTAGGTATTTTCCTACAACTTCTTCGATCTACAAGTGAATTCTTAACCCTGGGTTCCAAGCAATTACAACTAGGCGCCATTCACTATTCTAACAAAGCTTCGTTCTTTCTTCCTTTGAATTTTACACATAATTTAGATATTTTTGCCAGTACCTTCCAAGCTTCCAAACAAGATCGTCACAATAGTACATCAAACTTATTCAACGCTCTTCAGTTTATTCAGGAAGAAATAATTTCGGGCAAGCATGGAGCTCGAGATGTCTCTTTGAAATATATTGTTTTCGTCCATAATGGATTTGATACTAAGTTAACAGATTGTATTCGTGTAGTTGAAGATTTGACAAACAAAGGTGTAACACTGATCTCAATTGGTGTTGGGGCGAATTACAAATATGAACAGGTATTGGGAACGGCTTCTAGTGCTTTCCATGCTTATTTTGCGGATCAGGATCCATCATCAAATCAGTGGACTTTACAAAATATTGAAATCGACTTCATTAAAAAATTAAGTCGACTAGAGTGCACAAAAAGAGTGAACGCTTAAGACTAATAACCATTTAAACAACGTTTTACTATTACTTAATTTTATAGTTAAACATGTAAAGCGATTAATTGCTCAATATTTTTCTTTGCTTCATGCATTTCTTTTTGATATTGTTGCATGTTTTCTTTGTATATTTGCCAGATTAGCTCATGCTTTAGTATACGATCTTTGTATATCATACGGGATTGATATGAGATTCAAACTTTTTGTCACCCGCTTTCACTGAAAGTGGGGGATATTAATTTGGGTGTGTCTGCCCGTCCGTCCGTCTGTATATCTGTCGGTCTCTAACACTTTCGTTTCCGCGCGATATCTTGAGAACCCTTTGCGCTTTCGCAATGACATTTTGCATAGCAACTCCTTATGGCCTAAAGAAGAACCCTATTGATTTTGAGGTCAAAAAGTCAAAGGTCAAGGTAGTAAATTCATAAATTCTGTCTGTTTTAACACTTTCGTTTCGGCGCGATATCTCGAGAATCCTTTGAGCTTTTGCAATGAAATTTTACATAACAACTTTCTGTGGCCTAAGGAAGAACCCTATTGATTTTGAGGTCAAAAGGTCAAAGTTCAAGGTCGTAAATTCATACATTCCGTCTGTGTGTAACACTTTCGTTTCCGGGCGATATCTCCAGAAGCTTGTGCAAGGAAATTTTGTATCATAACTCCCTATGGCCTCTCTCGCCCCTCTCAAAGTGTCCCGTTCCGTTTTTTGTCCCCTGCTTTCATTGAAAGTGGGAGATATTAATTTGGGTTTTTTTTAATTTATTGTATTAAAAGTCGCTTGACACTATTTTTAGCACAGGGGCGTGTGGAGAGTTATTACGTATAATACAGGTTGTCGGCGGACTTTTTATTCTAATTACGTGTATTATAACTCTTTAGTAAAGGCTAAATTAGACACCATGTATTGTGTAAAATTTTGACAATATCGAACGTGAATATAAACATTATATGTGACCTATAATGTTTGCATTTAATTTGCTGTATAATCAAGTGCCTTCTTGGTCTAGGGGCATGATTCTTGCTTAGCAAGTGAGAGGTCCCGGGTTCAAATCCCGCACGATTTTTTTTTTTTTGGGGGGGGGGTTACATTTTTTTTATTATTATTTACTAGTTGAAAGTATTCAACATGTGAAATGAAAAAGTTATGACGTCTGGCGTGTACAAACTCATGAAATCATTGTTACAAATATTCTAATAAAAAGAACCTTCCATACTCATATTAAAGAATAAGCAGTTAATTCTTTATATCCATATTGGCATTTTTTATTTGCTTTAATATACAAGTATAAATTTAATAATTCTACAAATCCAGGGGGAGTCCCCCCAGAACTGCGCATGCTCTTCTTTTTCCCTAAGCGTAGGACACAAATTCTCTGAATTATCTTGTTTCTGTTAAAATGCATTTATCAGGATTACCCTGACTGTATTACAACATATATGTATATGGTGTTCACAGGTTTTCCACCAAAATGAACGATTTCATTGGGGGGGGGGTTATCTGCAAAAAGAGAGTGTGGAAAATTTGTAAGATTTTCTTACTGTAAAAAATGTACGCAAAATTTTGTAAAGATTTACACAGGCAATGGCTTAACGAGGTTTGCTCCTGAGCTTTTGAACAGATTTTTTCTTAATCAGTATTTCAAAAATTCTGCATAATGTTTTAGTTCTAAAAATAAATTTGGATTCTACAATACCAATTAAACTATATTCAGTTAAAACTCCATGATAAAATTCCATACTGAAAGCATTAAATGAGGAACTATATTTTGTGGCGGAAGGTTTTTTAGAAGAAAATTACAATTTTTTCTCTTTTAAAGTATGTTACGTTTGGATTCCTTTTTTCCCATCCAGCCTGCATACAGAGTTTTTCTGTGCCGTGAACTGTTTTATGCTGGTCCTAAATTATATATTAAATAAACTATCATGAATTCTATCATGATATTTGATAAATATAGCAAATATATTTTGAAAATCTAGAAAAAAAATTGCCCTAATTGAAGCTTAAATTTATCACTTTTTTAGTAATATCTAAAAATTAACATCACAGACCCCCATTTTCAATTTTCTTTTCTGAATATATAAGATATCTTTAAGGTCAAGATCTAGTAAATGAAAGGTGCCTACAGATTTCTCAAATCTGAGAAATCACTTCCTTTAATGATGCTTTATAACTTAAGCTTGGTCAAATAAGGTGTTTTGGGGCATAATTTGTAGATAAACAAGACGAAAAATCATATTTTAAAATGTCATTTTCGATGAAAAAATTAAGAAAACCAGTCATGAATGTAGGAGTTTTTTTCCATATCAGACAAAGGAAATGTATCCAGATTGCCTACAGTCTCTCAGAAAACGGCAATTTGTATGTTCTTGGCTTCTTCTTTAAAATAATATTAAATTGAATATAGGTATCGGGATTACTTTTCACATGATTTCAAATTGAATTCCATGAAAATACTTTATTTTCTACATAAATCTATTAGAGCCGTAAAGTACGGGAAAAAGAAAGTTGAAATTGATTATGACGTCATAATGGACATAGCACCACGATTAAAGTCTAAACTCATTTACTAGATCTTGACCTTAACCATTCTTTTTAAATTCAGTAAAATGCCATTACTTTCAAATGATTTTATTGCTTGTTATATTTTTAATGCCGGAAAAAATATTTTTTGAGTGCAAAAAAGTCAAATAATTGAACATGCGAAGTAATTTGAAAATTTTTTGTTGTCACAAATTTTAATGTGTCTATTCAAGATGAAATAAGACTGTGTTTGTTCCCATAATTTGTTTGAATAAAGAATATTGGAGGAAAAACTTCAAAAATTGACACTAAAATAATTGAAAATATCCTTAATTATTTGAAAATATCCTAAATTCATTTGATGCGCGCAACAATTCAATTGAAGATTTCTTCAAATTATAATGATGTTTTCAATTTGGAATTATTCCACGCATTGATTCGATTGTGATATTATCAATTATTATTTGCTGAATTCATGCTCTCATCTATTGGATTAGTGAGAGAAGTAATTGATTGGATGTGCGCTTCAATTGAATTGACGAAAGCAAAAATTGATTTAAGGCTCCCGTTGTTTTAATTGATGCGTTCATTAATCAAATTATTGCTTTCTTCAATAGAATTAATTATATCATTAACTCAATTAAAGCGTTCATCTATTCTTTTAGGGAGAGCAACAAATTAGTGATATTATCATCTCAACATATCCATAATTTATAAAATAGTCTCTTTACTGGAAATGTTGCTCTCTTTTAAAGAATTGATGCGTGCTTTAATTCCTCTAGTGAAGTCTTTATAAAATATTTGTAAAGCTGTAAACTGCAACAATTTAATTGATGTGCGCATCCAATGAATTGATGTGCGCATCAGTTGAATCGATTAGAACAATAATTGCATGAATTTTCAACCGTTTCTAGAAGAAATTAAAATTCTGAAACTGATCAATATCTTAGTAGATAATATACATGTACATATCAATCATGTATAACAACTTCCAGATCAAACACACGGCGAAACGCTGCAGTTGGGGATCAGTATTTAACAGGATCCAATTTTCAAAGGGTTTATGTCATAAATGTCGAGAAACAAAATTACCAAGCTGTTGAAAAATGACCCCTGGTATAAATTTCATGACTTTTTTTTTATTATTTGATGATCTTCATTGTTTCACAATCTGGAATTGGAAAATACTCGTATAAGGAATAGACGGGGGATATTTCTAGTTTCAATGGAGGGGGTAGTCGCAAACTAAAATCGAAGAAACCGGCGTTAAAGACGATTCTCCAGTGTATACTCACGCGTAGAAATGTACACGGAGAAACTCGCGCTAAAGTGACGTCACGATGAGGTAGCGATGAGGGTAGAAACGTTAATAAAAATATATCGACATACAGTAGGGGAGCGAGAAAGTCATACATTGTTGGTACTTTTGAACATGTAAAATGTAAATATAAGGAATGTTTTAAGGTTAGTGTGAATTACATGTATTTTTGTGTAAATCACACAGGCTTGCACGTAGGCATATTTTTCATTTTTCATGAAGCGCTAGTGCACTTCATGAAATATGCCTACGTGACAAGCCTGTGTGATTTTAAGAAATAAGATATCATTTTTAGAGTTTCATTGGGATATGTCACGTGATCAAATTCTATAACGCCAGAAGGGCGTTATAGTAGATTTGATCATGCGTACCGACTTCATGTCATATCCCAATGAAACTCTAAAAAATGATATTTTATTTCTTATATTTATATTTTACTTTTATTCGTATTGCAAGGGAAAATATGCACTATTTAGACCTTGTTATGGAAATGCAACATAACGTACCCACGACGTCATATGACGTCACAATCGGAACTTTCGAAATGACTCGTGCAGTTTGCTTTCCATACACAAGAAAGTCTGATCATGTGACCAACTGCATGTCATTGAAAATTGAAAGTCATTTAATTAAGGAATGTTTTTAAGTTTAGTGTGAGTTATTGGTGTGAAAATCACACAGACTTGTCATGTAGGCATATTTCATGAAGCGCGTTAGCTATTCCATAAAAATATAACGATAAAGAACATAGGACACGAGAAACTCAAATATTAATTATAAGTATATTTTTGGTGCTTTTAAAATGTAAAATATATTAGAAAGGAATGTTTTTAAGTTCCGTAAATCACACGATTTGCACGTAGGCATAGTGCGCTTCATAAAATATGCCTACGTGACAAGTCTGTGTGATTTACACATCAATAACCCAGTCTCTCACAAAACTTAAAAACATTCCTTCAATATAATTGTGTATTTCACAAAATTGAAATTGTTTATACAGAGAAAATCACAGGAAATTGGATTATGGTTAATCCTCCCCAAGGGCTCGTTTTACAAAAGAATAATATTTCGTTGATTGTAAAATCTTTCAAAACTTATGTTTCTGTTAAAAATTGTTTGCATAAAATATCTTTCTAAATTCTTTTCAAAAAGATTAAAACCATTTTCAAAATAATGCACAAAGAAAAGTTATTTGCATAATAACATTCTGATCTTAGTCGTAAGTTCATAAAATTGTAAAACGGAGCCCTGTATTTTTGTGAACAAAATCAGTAAAATTCTGAGGTAAAATACTTTTTATAGACTTTTCCAGTCTATTCCCGCAATAAACTAAGTTATGTGGTAAATTGTAAATATTGGGGATGCGCAATTTTATCGGTATACCGGTATATCGCGATTTTTTGTTGCGCGATACGTACTGCTAGAAACTTCAATGTACGGGCTAACTCGTCACGTTGCTATTAGTACTTTCTGTTTGAAATTGAAACGAAATATGGCCTGACGCAACGAATGTTATATGTTACGAATGACTCCATGAGTAACAACGACATTGTTTACTTGTTGAATTCTTCATGAATTTGACATAGAATGTTTTCCTCCTTCCAACAGAACATTCGGGAGCTCAGACGATCCCCTTTCTTTAACAAGGGATTGCCTTTAATGGTACATTTACATATACTTTTTTTTGAGTCAACTCACGTGCGAAGTACCTAAACTTGCAATGCAGAAAGCTTAAATCTCTGTCAATATTTAGAAATTACCTTCAGTATATATACACATTACATATGCATTTGGGAATTGTAATTTTAAATATTTTTTTCTTTTGTTTCAGTTATTTGTCTTCTATTTCAGCTATTTGTATTGACAGGTGCAGCAATATTAGTTCAGACACAAAAACTAGTATACAGAAAAAGAGACAGAAAGAAATCTTCAGTAAGTTTAATTTAAAATTTTTATCTAAATAATTTTTTTTTATCATCTTAAAATTTTTGTAAGATGGGTAGGTCATTCTTTTACACGTTAATGTACCTGTACTCCGTATTTCATTTTTTTCTGTTCAAAACAGTTTTTAAATTGATTATTGTATAATTTGCATTGTTTCATTCAAATATGTTATAAAAATTTAATTTTAATAAAATCATTTTGAAGTGAAATGTTCTCACCAAACTTTTCTCAAAAGCTGACAAGTGTCATACCTTAATTCTTCAAATACTGAAACTTTAATTTGTTTAAGCTTATTGTGTCACTCTTATTCCTATTTTCCTTATTACATAATTCAAAATACATATGTATATGCAGTATGCACATCATTTTTGTGCATTATATTTTTAAAACACTTGAAATATGCCAACAATTTTATGTTCTTCATTTTAGCTTCTGTCAGACAGAGAAACCAAGAAATTTTTTGATGAAATTGGTGATGTTAAAACATTACAGGAACTTCAAAAAGTGAGTCAAAGTTTGGTTAAACAATTAAATAACATGTACCCAAAAGTACAACTATAATGTTTTTCAAAAGGTGAATATCTTTCTAACTTTACATTCTGAATATTTGTAAGAAAAGCAAAAAATAATAGTTCATAATAATATCAAGACTACTGTTGAATCATCAAAATTTGTTGGGGCCAATTTTCGTGGATTGCTTAAATTTTATAGGGGTTGTAATTTCTTGTATTCTCTTATACCTACAAAAGGAAATGTGACTTAGTGACCATAGTTTATTAATTCATGAAAGATAGGAGGTACCCACGAATTCCAAGAAAATTGAGCCACCACAAAATCTAATGATTCCACAGTAATCAATAATCTTGACTATGTATTGCCTGTTCAGGAGACCCAGAAATATGGTCAGCTAGATAAATGGTCGAATTTCCGAGGGCCTCGGCCCGATGATGATAACTCCATGAAAACCTTCATGAAGATCAAAGAGGAGGGAGACAGAGAAATCGCAGCCAAAAACAAACGATTAAGGAGCAGTGAGGACTACAAAAAACAACAGGAAAATAAAAGAAAATTTTATGAAACAATTCAACATCAGCAGGATATTGCGATGAAAAATAAGTGAATTTAAGATTCTTTTACTGTGATTGTTATATGGTATTTTTAAGTGAAAGATTGTGTGGAACAAAGCTTCATTAACTTTGGCTATGTTCCCAGAAATGTGTTTTCAATTAAAAGATCCATTATGTGTGTGTGTGAAAGATATTTGAAAACATTAAATGGATGTATGTAATATTTTTTATATAAGGTTAAGAAACAAATTTAAATAAAATTGTTTTTTGTTGAAACTATTTGTAGTTTAAGATTTATTTCAAAATTATATCACAAGGATTGAAAATATATTGCAGTATTGTCTGCTATTATGGTAATGGATTACAACCATGTATTAGACACAAATAAACTTTTATTCTGAGTGAAATATCGAGACCCAAGAAAATACTAGTACCGTATAGCGGGTTATTTTAGCGGGGTGCTAATTTTGGCGTTTTGATAGTCGCTAAAATATTTAGTAATCTTAGTGTTCGTCTGCAAAGAGTGGAAACCCCTGTCCGCTAAAATAAATTACGCCAAAATTATTGGTATACATTTGAGCAGACAAAACGGCAAATTTTACACCCGCCAAGAAAACCCGCTGTACGGTGTCTGAAAAAGTCAAATTCATGGGGATTGGAATCGTAAAAAAAATCCTATTAGTTTATAACTTTGTTTATTATAACTTTTGTATTGAAAAAAAATGTTAGAAGCTCACATTTGACATAGAGGTCACTTATTAATAATTTTCTTTTGATTTACCTTGAAGTTGATACAGATCATTTTTTATGCAGGGAAAATGCGTCAGTGCCCTGAATTATGTGCTGGTCAATAAAGTAAATACACTGTATAACTTTTATGATACATGTTCATGTACTGATCAATAGAAATAAATGCAATTTTTGAAACATGCAAGTTTGAGTCTGCCCCATAGAAAAATGTCCTTCTAGAACATCTTGATCCAGTCAAGTTCATCCAACACAATTTGGCCACACTTATGGGAGATTTTTGTACCACATACAAAGCTTGTTTAATTGAAAATATGCAGTAGTACACTACTATTTTTCATTCATGTGAATTACCTTTGTAGTGAAATATTGTGTAATGGTATACAGTCATTGAACAGTATTTTTCTTTAAACTAGCAATCATTGACTTCATAAGCATGTGTATACTGTACTTCCATTGGAAAAAGATATTTGTTAGCGCTTGTTTGTTTTAAGACCATCTGCTATAAAAAAAATTCAAAATACTTTCAGTGGATATATTATTCTCTTCTCCTTCTATTTCTAGGTCTATTGAATATCTAGTTGTGAAAAGTAATTTTTTTTTATTTTCATGATATTTGAAACCCAGTTTAATCCTAGAAAGTGAATACAAAGAATATTTCATCTGGCACGAAAAAGGTAAAGATAACGAACAGTGATCAATTTTATAAATCCTTTAAACAAAATAAATTGTGAACAGGCAAAAAACACGGACCCCTGGAAATACCAGAGGTTGGAGTAAGTATCCTCTGTCGACCGGTCACACCTATATGAGTACTCTGTATAGATCAGGTAAACGAAGTAAACCATAGTCAAAATATTAAGTATTAAAAATAGTCCAAACAATTGTATGAAACAGGTCTGTCGAAATACGATCCAATGATATGTTTTATTTGCAAATAATTTAATTCTGGATGTAACGCTGTATTTGATCGGATAAAAAATTTACTTTATATCGTATAAAATGGGTTGCCTACGTCACAATGACTTACGTCAAAAACGCATCGATCCGCCTGACGTGACATTCAAATTTTGAACAAATTGTAGTCATTTTTTAAGGACAATCATCTTTTTTTCTAACACCAAATGAATGAAAATTAAATTATAAGGAATGAATTTAATAGCTACCCAATTTATACGGTATAAACTGGGTTGGAACAGTTTATGCTTTTTTATAAACCGCTTCACGGTTTATAAAGCGTAAACTGCCCCAACCCAGTTTATACCGTATAAAATGGGTAGCTATCAAATTCATTCCTTAAATGAGGTCATTTTTAACGACTACTGAATATGCGAAATACCGACTCCATGAGATTCTGAAAAGCCATGTACCATCAACTTATTTGTCAGTAGCCTGTCTCGGTTTAAGATTTTATCGTACTCGGAGAATGCTCTTGTATTATAATACCAAATCAGCTGGGAGACATAAATTCCACGTACAGGTGATAGTGAAATGTTCCCGTTTGTCGTATAGTTGTTAGTTGACCATTGACGTCTATAGTCAGTAAAACATCCAAATACAGTGTCTACTGTCCAATCCGACATCTGTGCAATCCGGCACACAGGACTTTCCGACATCATATTTTATTCCCAAAAATTTCTTTATAATTTATCTAGAAAACACTGTATATTCCGACCACTATATACATTCCGAATTCCGGCGCTTTTTGTCACCAAAACTAGACAATTACATTATGATTTCACCTGAGTATTCCAACATAATTACACCGGTGTACCCTAATTAGCCGCTGACCAGGAAATAGGTGTGGTTGACTTTGTGGTGTCTTTTATCCTAAGTTCACTGGGATATATCGAGTTTACATGTGTATGAAAATGACTATATTGTTAATTGATAAAACGTCATGGATATATCGAATTTAAATGTTGAAAGCAACAGCTAGAGTCTTCTTCTCATGCAGAAGTCTTTGAATTAATTCTGCTTCACAAGAATATAATAGTAGGTCTGCTTATAAAGTGGTATGAACATAATATACATTAGTACATCTTCTTGCTAAAAAATTTATGATCTTCAACAGCGATTTATAATATTAATGATAAATGTCACTAATTCAGAATTGAAGATATAATTAATTTTTTAATTCAGAATTGAAGATATAATTAATTTTTTTGGTACACGACCAATAGACCATAACAAGCAATGAATCATTTCGGCACAAGTTAATCACCACACTGGACACCACGCTAACAGGAAGTGGTGGCATGCCTGAAAAAGTGTGTCAGAGATAGATAAAATATGATACATGTATTAAAAATGTCGTCATGTTTCTGCAAGGGCACTATACATACATGCATCCTTTTAGGGGTGAGATATATTTTTAATATGAAAAATAAATTGAATATACTGCAACCATTCATATGAATTCATTTATGTATTAAAATCTTAAATAAATTATTTTAATATTAATCAATCGGTATACGGAATTTTAAATAAAGTAATTATAACGTCGTCATCTCTTCTCTGAAACAACATTTCTCCAGGAAAAGTTAATAAATTTTGTTTTCGTGCTCGCATCAACATCCCCACCAGTTTGTTTGATATTGTTGTGTATGCTTCAAATAGATTTCCAAAGGAAATACTGAATGATCCATCCGCGTTCTTTTGTCCAAGATCAGCGATCACGTGACACAGTTCCACGATTTCTCCGCTGATGAGTTCTCCGGCCTTTTGACCCCTATATTCCGTCATGGATCCTTCCACGGGGCGTCCGTAGTTAGGATCATTTTTGTCCAGTTTCTGTCGATGTGAGGCCCCCTCCCACTCGGAGAAGGGGTTTATTTTCTGTTTTTGTTCGTGGTCGTCAAAAAATTTCTGCCACTGGTTGACTCTCTTCGATATTCCTGCCATGGTAACATGGATTCTGTACACATAAACAATATAGCATAATTTTACAAATTCATAATGAATTACTCAAGGGTGAGTCAAGGCTGTCGGAATAAAAACAAAATATTACTCAAGGGTAAGTCAAGGCTGTCGGAATAAAAAACAAAATATTTTTGCAACAAAAAATCCTTTTGCATATGTGCGGCTAGATTTTATTTATTTAGAAATTGAACAAAATGAAAAATTTCCATAATTAAATGCACCAGAAACAACCAAAATGGCTTCCATTTACAAAAAAGGGTGGGGGATCTTGTGTAGGGGTACCCCTTCAAGACCCCTTTCCCACTCTTTTTTTTTTTCAGAATCGTCAATGGTGCATGATCCTGTTACTATTTTCAGCAAAAAGCACAAATACTTTACAAAAAATTTTATTATGCATATTTGCAGAATTTTAACAGCAGACATCTTCCAACGATAAAATTAATGTAAATATATATTGATTATTCTCGTCGAGGTTTGGGGGGGGGGGGGTTATTACTCTGCAATATTGAATTTCTTAGAGTGTAGTTCATTTTATTATTTAAATTTCATCCTTCCGATATCAGTTGATGTGTCTATGAGCAGTACAAGCAAATTTCTACAGAAATATTACTTCTTTCTCTGATAGTATGTCTAGTATACGTGTGCTTAATCATTTTGCTCGATTGTTGGAACTAATCCAGCACACATTCCTCCGACAATGCACACGTCTGCAAGCAGTTCTTAGGAATATTGTACATTAATATAAATACAATAGTTATAGACAACAAAAGGCATTATCTATTAATATCTAATATTTTTAGCTATTTCGTAACTAGATTCGAACACCCGCAGGTGGACAAAGGGGGGGGGGGGGGTACATATTGATAATAGATTAGATGGATAACCTATAGAAGTGCACCCTTATTATATAATGAGATTAATCGAAATGTAGTGGAAATATACCGAGTATTTTTTTTATCGAAAAGACCTGTTAATTTAAACAGTAACCCATTTGTTTTTGGTTTCCTTTAGGTTCATGTCATACATATACTGAGTTATAAATATTAATATACGTGGTTTTACAATTACCATTTTGCACAAAGTACATATGAAAAGTAATGCATCAGCGACACGCCCATCTCCAATCTCCGACTCTACAAAACCCTTATCCCCCAGCAGGAGGTATTTGGGATGTCTTCGGCTAACGACCAATATGTACTACCGGTATTATATATTCAAAGGGTCACACATTATAACGTTATACATTCTGCGCAGAAACAAGTTAAATTGATTTACATGTAAAAATATAAATACTGCATTTTACCATCAAGTGATCAACATGTATAAAGTTAGAGTAATACAGAATACACATACCTTTGTGTCGGTCGTCGAGTTTCGAGCTGTACATAATTCCTCCTACTTAGAAATGCTGCGTGGGAGGGATTGTTTACGTATGGTGGCCCAAGGCGGACATTTTTAAATACTTATCTGCAAATTCATTAAAGAATTCGTGCACTTTCACTATATGATTAATAGAGCTCTGCCCTAACACCAGAATCCCTGACGCAGGGGCAATGAACTTCCCAATTTTGAATGAGGCACCATTGCATCATAACTATGCACTCAGTAACAGGAGAACAGAACAATATTTTTTTGAACATTATACGCATTTTTACTATATGACCAAAAGAGCTCCACTTTTGCCTCAGAAACCCTAACCCTGTTATCACAAATTTCAAAATTTTATTAGAAGGCTCCATTCTTATTATAATCATGCCAGCAGTTTGACTGCTTGATGTCCAGGAGTGACAGAATTCATCTTGCAAAAATCAGAAAAACTGAATCGGAAGACAAAATAAAAAAATAAATATGAAGAACTGAGAATTAAAAAAATTATATAATACATGTATGAATTTTAAGAAATTTTATAAATTCTATACCGAGTAAAAATTAAATATGTGAAATGGTACGTACAGCAACATTCAGCAATCATGACCATCAATAAATTTACATACTTATATTTAAGGTCTTCCGTTCCAACAGAAGACAACTTTCTTCTTGTATTTAGTTTTAAAATAAACAAGACTTCCAATAAACGGGAGAGAGAAAATAATATATTTTCTTCTTTTAATATTAAAGCAAGCACTATTTATTTAAAAAAAACTTTTAAGCGTAAAATAATTTCCAGTCATTTACTGCTAACATCTTACATTCACCTCGACCCTGACTGTTTTGTGTTTACAGTTATGTAATCCATCCATCGATCGCGCAGTGACCAGAGATATACCACGTGCATGTCGTAAACAAAACAAACATCGGCGTTTATCTTTTCTCCGTTTAATCATATTAATGTTGAAACAAACAATATTAAATTAGCATAAAATAAATCTTTAGATCTTTAACTGCACACATTTTACATACAGCCCGTTTTTGTGTTTGTTTACAACCCTTCCCTCGATCACATGTGACCGATGAACCTATCAGTAGCTGCGTACATAAAACAAACATTGAGGTTCTATATTCTCTATTTAAGAAAAAAATATTTTTTAATAACATCGGGTGTTTCAAATGATATAATATCTTATCTTTGATTTAATTTAAATCGGAAACATTTTTATCAATGATATAAAGGTCCCTGATTTTATGAATCATAAACATTAAAATGCATATTTCATAATTTATTTCTCAGTCATGTGTAATGGAATGATTCATCGCGTGTGGTTAATTCTGCAGTTAATTCTAACCAGTTAAAACGCAAGATATCCGGATTTTCTGTGTTGTAAAAAAGAATCAAAATTAACAGATCCATTTTGAAAACATAAAGAATGACCTCTTAACATTCATGCATATTTTTTAAGGGTTTTCATGATAGTGCAGATTACGACAACTCTAAACGCCCTTGGTATTGTGGCTATGTAACTTGGGCGCGTGGCCAAGATGTGACCTTCATAAGCGACTTCTGTGTCGTGTTCATAACATACATTGTACCTGTGTACCGAGAGAGATCGTAAAGTGTCAATAAAATATTTCAACATTTGAAAGGAATTACATGTAATTTGATTTGTTTGTATAAGTAACTTAAAATCTATATAGTAATGGATTTTTAAAAATACGTTTATGTTATCCATAGTTTTTAGTACGATAAAATATTGGTAACAGCTTAGTTGCTGCCTATAAGCTTACTTCGAACGTCCAGAACTGCAAATTTCATGTGGTATGTTTTAAATGATTACTGGGACTGAAAAGTTGAGTGCCGAATGAATTCAATCACACCTGAATGCGCGGCTCCAAAAAATGTAGAAGAACATACATACATGTACTTGAATATCACAACTTATTAGACATCTAATGATGAAAATAATTTATAATACACTTTTACAACTTCATTTCAATGATTAATTATTCCAAATCAACTAATTCAAAAGTCAGAGTCGCCAGCGCAGCCAGACTAATCTTAATTGTCTTTCTTTTGATTACGATATCAATCACAGTAACTCTTTTCTTTAGATCTGTTTGTTTATTACTCTCAATCACAATCTGTACATGTATAGTTACACGAAATCCATGTACGGCGCTACACCTGTCAATCAAAATTGTGAACTATGTATCACTGTGTTATTTAGTGATAAATTAAAAGCTTGAACCTGTAAAATAGGACAGGAGACGTCAGTAGAATTTAACGTGTTTATTTCTTGAAGTCCGAGGAAAAAGTGATCGGACAATACAAGAAAGCGTCCCCTGTCCGGAACTTGAGTTAATCTTGTCAACATAATTGCATTGAAAAGGTGAGAAGAACAATGGGCTCAAAGGTGCCATCAAAAGGCGCGATTTGCCTAAGGGCTTATCTACGATATCGATGAAAAAGGGGAATGACACATGTGCGAAATTAAGTTTGTTTAATAAATTGATAGAGTGAATCGGCTTCTTTTGATTTGTGTGACACTAATTGATTTCTTTAGATTTCTAAAGAAAATTGTCAAAAAGAATGTAAGATATACTTATCACAATATAATTCTAGAGTCTGTACACAACAAAGGAATTTAAGAGAAATGGATAAACCGACATTGAAACGAAATAAATGAATTTATAAAAAATTAGAATTTAATGAAATAATGTTTCAGTTTGAAAAATTAAAAATAAATGTTGAAATGGATTTCTAAAAATAGAAAATCTGGGAGGGTCAATGTGAACCTATGATATATGTCTGGTGCCTCGGAAACATTTCTCGTATGATTTAAAATATTCTTTTTTTCAATTCTACTTTTACTACTGTAAAGATGTTATTTTGGAATAAATTTGGAATTAAGACTGCAGCTGCATGCTGTGAATTTATGAAACCTGCATTCCTTACCGAGGACCGGTTCTTACATACATGTACGTATATTAAATAATGAATCAGAGAGCAAAATGTGAGAAAGTCTGGACCGAGATTTTACTTTTCCTTTAGGATTAATGATTAATAAATAAATAATGCATCTGATAGATACTTGTACCACATATAAATGTATACAATTTTCTTTGTAAGAAGAATCTGTGATTGAAAGTTAAAAGTGAAGAGATTAGGTAATAGATCTTGACAAATTACAATTTTATTCTTTCCTAGTCATCATTAAGCTTTAAATTGCGCCCCCTCCTCAATGATCTCATGCATATCATGCATGATACTTTTTGTTTTGCTTATAAATATAAGGCACGTAGCATCAGGTTTTTTTCCAAACATAACTTTTTACTATTAATAAAATGTTCATTGAAAGACATCCCCCCCCCCCTTAATATTAATTAAGATTTTTTTTTTTCAGATCTTCAGATGAAATCAGCATAAGTAATTAAACACGGAAACTGAATATATTTATTTATAATATGGCATGCGTTATTGAAGGTCGGAGGACCGGGCTGCTCTATACATATAAGTTTAAGTTTCGGTGTATGGGATTGCAGTGGGAGAAGTTATTCAGAATTAAAGGTTAACTATACATTAAAAAGATTATACATCAGATGTTCTTTCCCTTTAAAAATTACGAGATACACAATATATTTACTTCCATGAAGTACATCTTTAAAAATATATATGTTTTTCATATGTATACAAAGTTGCTTATCATTTACTATCGACAAAACGACAGGTCCTTTTTTTTAAAACATTAAATTTTACTTATTGCATGTAAGTTACACAATTTATGTTTTATATTCATTAAGTCAAATACATTTTTTATGATAGGTTATATACATGTGTCAGATTCTAATTGCTAGCGCTCTCGAGCGCTAGCAACTACGTTAGTCTATATTTCTGGAATACGCATGCTCGACTTCACGGTCGGGCATTCTGGGAAAACTACTGAAGATAGACTGTACGATGATAATTTCGTTTTATCCCATGTTTACCCCTTTATCCCGTGGATATGACTCATTGGATAAATTTTTCATAATCCACAGTTAAGTGCAGTTGTGACGTCACAATGGTTTTTGCGTTAGCGTGATGAAGTAAAATGAAGTGGAGTCCTATATAAAACAGTGTAAAACATTGGTTGTGAAGTATTAAACAAGGGATTAAAAGAATCTCCCATGATTTGTAGTTGGATATGACTTTTATCCAACTCGTTGTGTGTTTTTATCCCCTCGCCAAGGCTCGGGGATAAAAAACACACAACTCGTTGGATAAAAATCATATCCAACTACAAATCATGGGAGATCCTATATTTATCATAAAAAATAGATATGATCCGAATTCTGAATTTCTAAATTTATTGTCTAACCGAAGATTAAAAGTACAAGAAAAATTTGGGTCATATAATTCCAAGATTGTAGAGATCAACTGGTAAAACCTAGCTTTCCTTACAGCTAACCATGTACATGTATACTACATGTACCTTCCTAGATAGTTCCGGCAAGCTCAGAAAAAAAAACAATAAATCTTTCAGAGTATGTCGGACAGACACGAGAAGCGATTGATACAATGCATTAGCACTGATATATTATAATTCTTTAATTTTTCATTTTTCCTTTTTCCTTTTTTGACGGAAAAGCCCGAGTAATGATCCGATTGTTATTGCTATAGCGCTAGCAACTACGTTAGTCTTTTTTACTGGAATACGTATGCTCGACTTCACGGTAGGGCATTCTGGGAATACTACTGTAGATAAATGTACCATGTCAATTTCGTTTTTTAATCTGAAAAATCGTATGATCTGAAGTTTTCGTGTTTTGTTGTCTAATCTTAAATAAATGTACAAAAGGTAACAGTGACTGCCAAAACTGTACAGATCAGTTATAATTTTTAAAACTATAATAAAAAAAAACCTAGCTATTTTTAACTATCTTCCTGGATCTTTCTGGCAAGCTCGGAAAAACAACCTCGGATATGTTTTCCGAGCTTGCCGGAAAGGCCCGAAAGAATGCGATTGCTACAAAACAGTACCACACTGGAATATTTTTAAACTAGGTGTTCATTGCTTCTACTTATCTCTTATTTTTCAC